AAGTTTCAAACTCTTATTTTTTATAATTTTTTTACTCATTTTTTACTTACTTTTTATTATTTTTAAAAATAACTTTACAATTTTTCCTTTAATAAAAATTTAAATTTATGATTTACAAATAATATTAAAAAAATAAAAACACTAATAAGGTCAACCAAACAACCCTGCGTGTGATTTGATGACTAATTTTGAGATTTTTTATAATTTTAAATTATAAAAATGTTAATTAATAATAATATATTTTTTTAAAATCAGTCATAAAAAATAATAATATTTAAGTACAAGTAAAGGGTGTGGCCTTCGTAGAACATGCTATGACGTATAGCGCGTTTGCGGAACAGACCCGCTGCAAAAGTGGAGCAGTTTACTCGGTGGCCCGCGGTTAGAAGGTTCGTCGTGACAACGTCACTCCACTCGGTTTGGTAAATACTCGGTTTAGTACAATTATTACTCCACTTAAGAAGAGTATGAATCACGTGCGGCTGCCGCCGCTCTGTAATATTTTAATGCTATTGTTGTCATGTGTTAATTACAACAAAAGCCCCTGCCTTAACTATTTTCTTTCTTTTTAGTCACTCCATCTTTTTTTCATTTTCACCTTCTCCCTTTTTCTTTGTCAAACTCATTCATCCATTTATCATACATTGTTACAACCTCATGTTGATGTCGATAAATAATAATTTTTTAAATAAATAAATAGCATCTCTTAAAAAATAAATTTTTATAATTAATTAAAGAGTTTTTTAATATAAATTAAAAACATATTTATTATATTTTTATTATTAATTTTATTAAAAATAATAGAAATAAATTTTATTGTTAATATTTATATCATATAAAATAATTTAGTTAAATGATTATAAAGTTAAAATTAATTTTTATTTTTAATATAAATTAATAAAAAATATTAATTTTTTTTTCTTTTTTGCTAAATTTAATTTATGATGGAACTTACACCTGAATCTAGTAAATCGATGATTCTATATCCAATTATAAAATGTATTTTCTAACCTTAAAATTAAAGTTCAAATCCCTCGTTTCCATGGTAAACCATTCAAAAAAAAAAAATTTTATGACAAAACTTGGAGGCAAAAACTTACTTTTAGTACCTCACCTTATTAAGTTTGCAAGTTTTAACCCTTTAAGTTATATTATGACATTTTTAACCTTTCACTTTACTAAATTTTTAAGTTTTAATCTCTTACTCATTAAAATCGAAGAAAATAACCCTCACTTTATATTGACTGTTACATCTGTTAGCTAAAAGTAAATTTTTATCAATTAACAATTAACTAATAGTCAATTAACAAAATTAATAAATTATTATAAAGTTAATTCTATTAAGTTTACTATCTGAAAGAAGGTTTTTAATAATTAACAATTAACTAATATAGTTAATAATTAACTAATAAAACTAACAAAATGTTACAAA